TATTATTCTACATTTTTTCCTGCTGTTCGTTGTGTATTAACCTAAAACTTTCTAATACTAACTCGAAAAAGACTGTTTTTATTTTTTTCCATTTTTAAATATAAACATTTTGTTATATTCTTGTGAATAATGGCTATAATAATACCTTGTGAAAGACATTTAATAGATTTTCAAATGGGCTTTAAATCTTGACATTATGGAGAGGGAATCTTCCACCAGGGCAACATTCATTGAACTCTCATAAAACTCTAATGGGGAATGCAGTACCTGCCTTTGCTCTCATAGAAGCCAACTCTGTTGTTTTTATTTATTGGTCGATTTAAAGTTTGGATGTATGTGAGTGAATTATTGTGTGGATATATATATAATAATTCACTCACAAATATATATAAGAGAATTTGAAAATTGAGAGGGAAAATATATGCCATGACAGCGGAATCCTACACATATGTGTGTGTATATACACACATGTATACATATACGTTGTGGAGAAAAAACAACTATATATATATATATATATACATTGCATCTGCTTCATTTTAAAATAATAATTAAAGCATTTCAAGATAAACTATACCCTGCTTATTGTTAAATTAATGCAAGATGTTCGGCATGTACTACCTTTTTCTTGTTGTTAGAAAAAGTAATAAATTATAACATAAGTTGCAACTTGTATGAAATTAATTGGGTACATCTTTTCAAGATAATTTGATTCTATGAAATATTTGAAGAAATAATTGATGAAAAGAACTGAAAATAAAACCTTGAGTGAACCCACCCAAACTTGGTATGTATGTTAATGCACAACAAATTCATAACAATTAAACAGTATATTTTTGAGTGTGGATTTATGTTCTTTATTTATTTTCTAGATAAATGTAAGACTATACTTAATGAAAATGACATATGTCTCTTTAACAAATTAGCAAGGTTTCCATAAGGTCAAAAATATTAAAGCTGTTGGTCATTTCCCAGGATTTTGTGAACATCTGTTCCCATTATAAGAGAAACATGCAACCATATATTAAATACTGTGGTGTGCATAAAAGGTCAATTTGCACTAAAAACAAGACCTTTTTAGCTAATTACACTACCTCAGTGTTAACACATTAAGAATTGGTACATATGAGACACCACAAATGTATTCAGTCTATTTTGATTTCTTTATGAAATATCAAAATTTCCTTAACAAAAGTATAGGTTGCAAGGAAAAAGATCAAAAAACTCTTTCTTCTTTTATTTTTATTATTTTTATTATTTTTCAGACTATACTGAATATCAAAACATCCTTAAATGTCATATAGAAACAAAAACATTTCAAGTGTACAGTTTGTTTCTATGAAGCATACTCTAAAATATGATGTTAATGAACCTGTGTATCTGTATTCAAAGTGCTCACATGGTTTGATCATGTCCTGAATTACTGATGTTATACAAAAATTTATATTATTTGAAGTGTACAGTAATAAAGTAATTTTAATCTCGCTGTTAATGATAATAATAATAATAATAATAATAATAACAATGATTTTTATTATTTGCATCATCAACTATAATATTTCCAAACTAAATGCATAATAATCTGCATTAATTGTGTTATTTCCTGGGCTTCTTGTGGATATCATAAACACACTCAGAAGTAACAGATGGCTTGTGTATGGATGGTGTCTTTGGGCAAAAGGGTAAATAAAATATATGGGAAAGCACCCAACAATGCAGGGCAGCTGTGGGGAATGTGGCAATTGTAGGCTTGAAGACAATTTCCAATGCAAAGATTGTGATATTTGAGAAATTTAAAATTCCTTCAAGGGGCACAAAGACCAAAGAAGCCTTTTTGGATGCATGGCAAAGCTGTCTTGAAACTTGGGAGTACTTAAGCCTCTATCTCTCCTTCCAACCTCTTTTTATCCATATCCACTGTGTCAAATGTTTCAATGGACAAGCACACTTGGTATTTATGTACATGTAATTGTAATAGCAATATATATAAAAGAAGAGTAACACATCTACAAATACCAACCAGAATTTTAAAAAGCATACCATGACTATATGATTATTTAAATATTAAACATCTACCCAAAAAAAAAGTGCAACTAAATTCATTGGTGTTTTCAACCAGGTTTAGTTTTGAGGGTGTTGTGTCAAAAGATCTCAATTTAATATGTTTAAATGGTATCTCCACTTCGTAGAACTATAGCTCAGAAGCTCAAACAAATATAATTTTCTCTGTTATATTAAAAATACCTTAAGCGTTGATGCAAATGTCAATTAGAGATTGATCCTTTCACTAAAGGGATTGAAACTAAGTTGTGATCAATATGTAACAAAATCAACTCTTTGCATTGTTAAGAGACTCGAGGTTAGCTGAAACACCACTCACCTGTGACCCAAATCCACACCTTTTCAATTTCATTTTTCAGTTTTTAGCACTCTATCTGGAATATTTCGGATATTCTTCCAGAATATACAATTATCAACACTGTGTTCAAGACCTATTGTTTACCCAAAGCGTTTTAAAGGGGAGGAAGGAAGAAAGACACACTATTATTCACTTTTCCCAAGTGTTTCTCAATGTCAAAGTCCACCTTTGTCATAATTCTTGATGATGAGATTTCACCCTCGTTGGCTTTGAATGTGCTCTTGTGTAAAATCCCACAACAAAGTGGTCGCAATGGTGGAGAAGGGTTGTCTGTGCAAACGGATTGACAGAGTTTATTCCGTTTCAGATATCCATAGAAAAAGCAGCTGTGGACAGTTGATACAGGTGTAATTCCAGACTCTCACTAAATCGCCTTCGGTGGATGCGATTCTGGCCAGCAAGCAATCCATCTGCAGTTTTCTGAAAGTCGTGATTCTCTCGTTGCAACCGAAGCACAGAAAATAAAACATTTATAACAAAATAAAATAATATAATTGTAGAAAAAAGAACAATAGAAACAGACGTATAGAGCACAGCGTCCTGCCCGAGAGACATATTTCCAGTGAGGGGGCAGGTGGAATGGGTAACCTGCTAGGATTTAGGTTTTTAGGTTTTTAGGGCTTGGTTGTATCTGTTTGTTTTTGATTACATCGAAGAGGCTGCTCGGAGCATTTACAACAGATGATTGAGCAAAGTGAAGACGAAGCAGTGAAGAAACAAACTGGGGAGTCAAATGATAGGACCATGAGTTATTGTGGAGATCGAAAAAATAAGCTTCATCGCACTCCGCAATCCTTATCAAAAGAACGAGAAAGAAATGAAAAGAAATGTAATTACGCAAGTTTACGACGAAGAAGAAGCAGTAATATTTGTGGTAAAGACATAAAACAGAGACTTAAAAACGTTGTCAAATATCCCTCGAATGTTAATCCGGCGCGTCAATCAATCCGACGCAAGATGGCGATGAAGGAGAAGTTAATTGGGATTTACTAGAGAAGCGAGAGAGAGAGAGAGAAAGCGGAGTGAAAGGCCAGTGGAGATCGGCGTCTGACAGAGTATGGTCAACACACAAGCGTCGTAACTACGCCACGGATGTTCCCCCTGACAACAAGCCCGCGGCGGAGCTAAATTAGGGCCGAGGCTATGGACTGTAGCGGCTGGAGGTGCTACAGACGGCCAGGCCTTCTGCCTCACCTGGAGGGTCGTCCAAGTCGTCGTCGTCGTCGTTGTCGTCGTGCTCTCCCTCTCGTCGATTGCGACGCCCCTCTTTGGACGGTTGCTGCGTCGCCGCGAGGCTGGAAGGTCAAGTTTGTCACGTCGGTCGCCGAGTGACGCGCTGCCTGTCGCGTTGGATTCCCTTTGTGGAAGGTAGCATCGTTGCAGCACCCTTTGGCTGGGCGCCGAGCCTGAGGCGACGGCTGCGCTGCTTCTGCGAGGGTAGGGAATATTGGGAAAATTGGAAGGCCTTCCTGAGAGCTGTTGGGCGTGGAAACCAAGCCTTAGGTTTCACAAGAGGTTCTCATGTGTAGCTGCCCCTTTTTGTCCCCCTGCATTTATGAACTTTTCCGCTCGTTTCCCATTTCACTGTTTTTGCGGCTTGTGTCAAGCTCTGCAAAGTTTATGTTGGAGACAGTGATCGAAATTACATCTACGTTGTGATAACCAGATTAGTCGGTCACTTCTGGATCCACAACAACGTTGGTTGACTGAGTAAGGAAGCCATTACTTCACACTTTGTATCCCATTCTGTGATGAACTAATGAGAATAACCAAAAACACCGTACAATTAATATGAAAATGCACAGGAATAGAAGTGAAGATGGAATGATTGAAAACGAGCTTTATATTATTTCTTAAAACTGTCATTTCTAATGAACAGCCCTGCGTATCACTGCTCTGTTGACACACAAGCTTTGAATAGGAATACTGTCTTGGGTCTTATTTTTGGCACAGGAGCGGCGACGAGAATTAAGACAACGAAGTTGAGCTAGGGAGGGATGAGGTTGCGACGTGGGTGAATGAAGGCGGAATGAATATGCTTAAGGGGTAAAGCTGGAGACACTGAAAGCAGTTGACCACCCAAGAGGAATTATACAGTGTATTGGATTGAGGCAAATTCATCAATGAGCGGCAATTGTCGCTCACGAAACATGGCATGAAAATCGCGGCATGATTTTGGAGAAGCTGGAGTCCGTCGATCGCTTCCTGTGGCATCGACGATAACGGCGTCGATGAGACAAGCGTTTTTTTTTTTTTTTGTTTTTTTTGTTTTTTTGTTTTTTTGTTTTTTCCGGGAGAGATTTGTGAGTTGAGATGGAGGTCAGATCTGAGAGGGGTCACAGATCGAGCTGACAAGGAGGCTGCTGTGGATTGTCAAGAAGGGCCACCCATAGTAAGACCCCTACCACGCGAATGCGTAACCGGTGTCACCATTGGCATTTTTTCCTTGCAAGTCCCACTATTACCTGGTCATTCGCGGCTGCGCTTGCTGCTTATAGCATTGCTACGTCTATTAATACACTCGTTACTTCGGACTCCCGCACGTCCGCTATAGTTTACTCTCGTGGCGCTGCAGGTATTCTTCTCCCGCTTATGTTGCCCCTCTCTAAAGCCCATTTGCTCCAACTCGCTGTCGACGGTAGGCGTGTCGTATCTGATGTAGTAGTGTGGCTTTGATGGGATAGCATGCAATACTCCCCGTCTTCCTCTTCTGTCCTCAGTTCCCTCCTGTCACCTTAGGACCAACTCGGTGGACTTGTTGTGTGCTGTTTGGATAGTTGACGCATGTGTTTCGGCAGTAGTTCCGGGCACGCAATGCCGCTGAGAATTGGCACTGAGCTCAGGGTTGTGTGGTTCTGTGCTCTATGAGTTTAGATTCGCTCGTGGTACGCTTAGTGTGCGTTTATTTTTCTGTTAGCACGATCTAGCTATATTCTTGCATCGTGAAATAGTTGCGCAGCTAAGGCGAGGTAGACAGTTGTTGCCGATAGCGCGTGTCTCGACATTGCGGGGCGTTTTCTTGCTCTCTTACGAATTGGGAGTTGAGGATTTTTTTCGCCTCTGGGTGAAAGACATTTGTGGAATAAGCGCTTGGCAAGGGTGTGCCAACGTCAACCTTCTTTCCTACCCTAAGTTTGTTCGGTGCAGAATGTGATTCCCAGCCACGGGAGTCGAAATTCTGGAGTCATTGACGAATTTTCGTATTTAGAAATGTGTGGCCGCAGCTGCCTTGTGTTTCTTTTTCGAGTAAAAACGATCACCGATGTTGACTTGGCTGGTACTTGGAGCCCACTTTTGTTGCAATCCAATTTGCACAGTGTGGAACGCAAGACACTTCGGTTTGAATTAGGCTCCAGCACTCTGCACTAGCTCTCTTGTACTCGTCTTCTAGACGCTCACTTCTGTGTAGAAAACGAGTGCCAACTCCGACGGAGTTAATAGAGCCTGAAGGTTGAAGATCTTCCATTGAAGGTCGCATAATGTGCGTGTTTCAACTGGAAGGAGGCTTCGTTTCTCTTTTTTGGATCAAGCAGTGAAGTCCAGGAGGCTTAACTGATGGCACCTTCAGTAAGGGATCCTAGCTTCTACCTGAGCATGGCTAGTTTCGACTTTGATATGGATCCTCTGCAGAGCTTCACTTTTGATACCATTTCTTCAGATGATATCGATACCTATGAGTCCGTACTAGAGCCACGGTAATGATCTATCGAAACTTTCATGGTTACTGTTAGGGTGAAACCACTAAAAAAATATGGACCGTCTGGAATTGATTCATCCGTTGTGAGCGTCGCTGCGAAATGAGTTGATGCGAAGTAAGATCATTCATAAATATTCCCAATGAGTCGCTTATGGAATGATGGTTTGTTTTTGAACAGAGTGGTGCTTCTCATGTCCGATATGGTTTCATCAACATACTTAGAGGTGAAGATCAACGCGGAGAGAACGTTTGTGCTTCACGGAGTAAGCAGACCATTTTCCCTCTTGTACAGTTCGCAGACTCCTCGACTAAAACACTCTGTTAGTTAAAGCTGGATGTCGAGCTTACTTTGATACAGTTGTACATGCCCATGTTGTGACAATCGTTTGTCTCCTGCTGTCCCCAATTGCAAGTATGGTTCTTCATTAACATGTATTCTATGATGTGCCACTATTGACCCGACGCATTTGTGCGCAGGCTCCGCTTGTTGGGCACTGCGAGCTTCTGAGGCAACTTGTTGAGGAAGCGCTCGAAGTTGATGCGTGTCCGCTGTCGCCGCCAAGACCCACTCGCAAGTTTCTTTCATTTCAAATTGAAGACTTGCCTGGTGGGCCCGAAGCGTTCGAATTGGTTGCAAGGTTCTGTCACCGAAGAACATGCATAAATGTCACCTCTGCAAATGTAGCCATGCTGCGCTGTGCTGCCGAGTTCTTGGGCATGACGGAGACTATGACGAGTGAGAATTTGATACGTATAACAGAAGAGTATCTGAGAGCGGTAGTGCTCGGGAGCTGGGAGGAATCCCTTGCAGTTATTAGGACGTGCGACGAATTCAATCAATCCGCTGAGAAGACTCAGCTTATCCAGCGATGTGCGAGTGCTCTGGCCGATAAGACCTCGCCAACGGCTACTTTCGCCGTAGACCTCGCCAGCAGTCCTCTACATCCAACCACTGATGCGTACTTGGCTTCCTATTTTGTGTCGACTCCTAGCGGCAACAGTTCTCACAGGTCTTCCAAGGCTGTTAGCGAAACTTGGTGGTTTGATGATCTTTCGACTCTCTCCGTTCACCTCGTGGAGCCAATCGTGCGCTATATGATCATTCACAAGCCAGCAGATAGTCGAGTGATAGCCAAATTTCTGCTGCATTACCTGCGCTCTGCATTGCCAGTGCATGGTTACAGCGCCACGTCTCTGTCCCCCATGAAGCTTCACGGCGATGGTGATGAAGACACTTCGTTCAATCATGGTGAAAGAATCCAACGCGAAGTAGTCGAAGTTGTCGTGAATCTGCTGGCTAATCTCGAAAGGAAATCGGTCTCTTGTAGGTCATTGCTTGGGCTCCGGAGAATTGCCGTCGCTGTTAGAGCAGGGAAACATTGCAGGAGGGACCTAGAGCGCATGATCGGAAGGCAGTTGGAGAAGGCAACTCTGGACAACATTTTGATTCCAGCCCTTCCTCCACGTAGCTCCTCGTTGTACGACGTTGATCTTGTTCTGCGTCTGGTCGAGTTCTTCCTCAAAGAGAAGGCTGACGCACTGTTTCTCACCTCGAATTGCAAAGGATCTGAGAGCTGTGAATCCTTGTATTCATCGAGATTAGACAACAGGTTCTCTTTACTATCACGAACTAACAGCAGGGTATCAGCCCCGGTAACCGCCTTGAGTTCTGAGATCAGCACACCGCTGCAAACGTCGTTGCTGAAAGTCGGACAACTTATGGACAAGTACTTAGCTGAAATCGCAGCCGACGCTTACTTGAAGCCGTCAAAATTTCTTGCGCTTGCTGAATCACTTCCAGACTACGCGCGCCAGTCGGATGATGGACTGTACAGAGCAGTTGACATATTTCTCGAGGTTTGTTCTCTCATGTCTGTTGCAAATCTTGTCACAACCAGCCCTTCTGTGGTTTTTTTAGGATTTGAACGTAAGCAAATGGCTCCCTCTGGAGGCTGATTTTTGGCTTGTTACTCCTGCAGGCACATCCGTTTGTGAGTGAGACGGATGCTACACGGCTCTTCAAGGTGTTGAACTACCATAAATTGGGCCCCGAGACGTGCAAGGCCGCAGCCCAAAATCCAAGGTTTCCCCCAAGCTTTGCGATTCAGGTAGCGCTTGTCCAGCGAAATCAGCTCAAGACAACCAGCGAAGGCTCATTCCGCAGCGACAGATCCTATTCCCCGTTCAAGAACAATTCACCAAGAGTCGGCCAACAAACAGTGGTGCACCTTCAGTGCTCTTCATTTGAGTTCACCCTTCGGCAGGAGAAGAAGATCAATGTCAAGAAGGCGCAAGCGTCAAGGCTTGAGATTCAAAGCTCTTGCAAACGCTCACGAGTGGAGATGCCTGGCGGCTTCCACCGACTGATGCAGCTGTTCAACTCCAAGTCAAGGCAGCATTAGCTTCACACACCGCACAAATTTCTTTTTGCCTCCTAGGAGTGCAACTCTGTAAACAATAGTCCCGCCTCTTGTATATATTGAAAGAGCATGGTCATGTAACTTAGTCTTAGGCTTGGCAGGTCATTGATATTTTGACGTGATCCGCCGGCACCCACAATATGGCTCACGCCGAGGTGACTGTTTAAGCCTCTTGTGGAAGCCCATTCTATGATACTAGTCCCGGAGAGATGCCTGATTTCTTGCCTCTGTTGGGAATGCCTCCTTTCACCGCACCGATTCTTCAAACGCTTGGTAAGTATTCCGTGTTCAGTGACGGAGGTTGCAGACGGAACCCTCGTGCAACACGAAGTGGCTTTTGTAAATTATTTAAGACAAGAATTAGTGGTGAAGAAAACGAATGCTTCGTAGTTTTAAGCTACTTGCAATGTTACATAGTAGATGCATTAGTAGATTACACAAAGTTTTATCATGTACTATTAATTTTTGAAACTAAAGCATAGTGTGCCATCTCCTTATTCTCCTGGTCGGAGAGGTTGGTTTTGCCCTCACAATTTTGCGAGTGGGTATTGTCGATGTGGGTGTTTCATCCTTTCTGTTCGGGTTGAGTATGATGACCGGTGTAGATTTTGTTTTCGACGTCCTCACTGTCTAGATTTAAGCGATTGAAAATAGTGTCGATTCTTGAAAGTTGCAGTAGTCATTTATCTCAGAAAGTACTTGATTTGCGTGTCCATACACTTGGAGTATCTACATTGTGCAACTCTATCTGCAAATTTTAGACCCCTATCGCAAAGGAGAGTCAGTTCCAATTCATTCATAAGTTCGTGCCCCCAGACATTAAATGTGTTCAACATCAGCATCAATCATTGATTAGACCAGGTTTAGGGTTTACGAAGTTAACTTCTTGCTCTTTCCACGGTGTTCGGATTCTCGCCCTCAGCACATCGTTGCAGTATATCTGCGTTGATCGACAAACCCTCCACGTTTCTGTCCAAGAAGGTGTGCAAAACGTCTTTTAAAGCAAGGAATGTGGTGTAAGGAATGGATACTGGTTGGGTGTGCATTACTGACGGTGTTGTCGACAGCCGGAAGGTTGGTTGTGTAGCCAATCATGGGAAGGAATATTCTCCACTATCGTCCCGAGGATTTGTGCTAGGGTTTCTAGTATCTGCTTCAGATTGATGGCCTGAGTGAAACATATTTCCAGTACCAAACGCAGGGTACACATGCAATACTAGATTTTCTCAAGGGCATCTAACCAATGTTGCAACCTCGTTCTGTCATCACTCCGACGGGCATCATCATTCCCCACCCTCTTTACTGGTGATTCCGATTAGCACGACCAATATTACAATTACGGTTCTATAACTCTAGTGCATCGGACACATTCAAGTCAGGCTTAGTGGCGTGCATCATGCTTGGTGCTTAGATTTTGGAGAAGCCTTCAATTGTGCGTGTAATCGCAAGTCACACGGATGATGTTCACTCGACAAACAAGGTAGTCAGATCGAAGGCCGTGACTCCAGTCGAGAGACTCAGCAGTACATGTGAGGCTCAGAACTATATCAGATGCACACATTATAGTTTTGAAGATGGAGTTGGGCTCAGAAGCATAAACTCATCAAATTTATTGGTAATTTATTTGGACTAATATTGCAAACCAAAGATGTAGATTAATTTCTAATTATTAAAAGTAAAAATAATTGAACAAATCAACTAGTGCTTTACTTGTTTGAATTTAGTTTGAATGTTTTTTTGTCATAAATAATGAATTATTTTCCTCTTCACAATTCTTTACCTTGGAAAAAAACAAAATTAAAAAATCTTTCAATTCAAATTAGGCAACCTCTAATGGAGAGGCATTTATATAATTTCAAATATCAAGGTATTTTGGCACCTATGTTGGTTAACAACATTTGTAAGAAGCATAGAGATTGTTAACTTATAGAAATTTATGTTGACATTCATGGCCAAAGAAATGTAACATCTAAAATATTTTTAGAAGCATATTTAGATTTATAAAGCCAAAAGTAAAAAAAAATTAGTGAGCACTCTTGAGTATATTAGGTTTAAAAATTAGAATAGAATAGATTGAATTTAGACTAAACTAATATCATGTCTTCAACAAAAAAATTACTACATTTGTCTACAATACAAAAAAAAAAAAAAAAAAAAAAAAGGTTAATAGGGTAAATTTTGGAACACCAAAAATTTACTACATACATCTTACTTGAAAGCATGGCTCTATAATTAAAAAAAATGGATTTTATAAAATTCAAGATAATTAAAAGATAGATAGATAGATAGATAGAAAGAAAGAATGAAAGAAAATGATGTAATTACAAAATTTGGAATCTTTATGCAAGATAATATATTTTAAATTTAGAAATTAATATATTTATATGTAAAAAATTAGATATGAATGATTTTTTTGTTGTAAATCTAAATAATAAAGATAAATATAAATAAATAAATAAATAAATATATTGTTTTCTAAAATATTTTAATTCATTAATATCTCTTTGATTATTTAGTAAAATCAATTATTCTACATGTTTAGAAGATATAATGTGAAAATATTGTAAGTTGGAAGTTAATCTTAGAATCTTTATTAAATATAGAAAATATTATAAATGTTATAGTTTAAACAAGTATTTAAGAAAATTTACTTGTATTTCAAGTATTGGTGGCTTTACAAGGATAGTTTCGATTGTTGATATTTTCAAGATAAATAAAGAATTTTCTAAGATATCTAGTATATTCTATAGTCATATAATGTGCTTCAATTTGAATGTATATATTTACATATAAGACTTTCGAGAAGAAATAATGACTCAATTTATTATAGAAAGAAACCTCCTATTGATTTCATATTCATTCTTTAATATTTTTATTTAGGACATAATAAAATATTAGATTTAATTTTTTTTTGAAAAAAAAGAAAAAAATGAGATTCTAAACTAAATCCTTTTAAACATTTATGTTAATGAAGCATACTTGGAAGGAAGAAGTGATAGTTAATAAATAGAGAATAAAGTTGAATAAAATTTATTTCAATTTTGTCTCCTATATCAACTACTAACATTAGAATCAATCTTACATATGTTTTAGAAATGTCCATTTTATAAAAAGATTTGGAGTTGGACTGCTATATTCTTCTATAAAATGGTCATCAACCTAAAATAATTGGATCTATAAAAAAAATTAAAAAATTAAGAAATTTAAAAAATAAAAATTAAGAAGATAAAAAAATAAGATGTAAATAAATTTATATTTATTATTTTACTTACAAAAGAAATAACTCTCAACTGATTAACAATAGAAAAGTGTATATGATATTACATAATAAAAAAAATGTATATGAAACTCTAGTATTCCAAATAACAATATGATTATTTATATAATAGATATAAGCCAAAAAAATAGAAAATACCATATTTTCTATTATTTATTTCTTTACCTTATTAATCTTAATCCTACACAAAGATAGTATCTAAATGTAACATGCATTGTCTCAACCATTGTCAATTAATGCAATGGATTTTTTTTTTTACTTGTATCAAATATACATGCATATCTATATTTTAAAATTAACTTATCTATATTTGGCTATAGCCCAAAAGAATCCTATTGGCTAAAGCAATAAAAAGCACTCACTATTGAGATAAATAGTATATTTTATGTTTTATTTTTTATTTTTTTAATTATAATAAGAAGCATTGATTAATTGCTGAGGTAATTTGTATTATTTTTAATCACAGTAAGGGGCACTTATCAGCTATCAAAGTATGTTGTGTGTTTTTAATTTTTTTGATTAGTTGCCAAAGTAATAGTTATGATGAAGGGCCCTCTACAGAATTGACAATTGCAATGAATGTAAATCAAGTTGAGTTAAAAATTCTTCTATAGCAGTAACAATAAACACCACTTATATAAAAAATTGACTTTGAGCATTTGCATGTAACGTTAGAAAATTCCACTAGTTGGAGCACTAATGGTCATTGATTGGCTGTTGATATATATATATATATATATATATATATATATATTACAATAAGAGGCATTGATTGACTGATGTAATATATTGTATGTATGTGTGTATTTTTTTTTTTTTTTTTTGTTTGTTTATTTTTATTTGTTTTTGCATTTATTTCGATGTTTGCATTTAAAATTGATGCTTTTCAATACCTTGTTCTTTGATCCTATATAAAGCTTTCTAATGAAACAGTGATATAAATGGCAACCTCTCTTCTTGCTATTGCTGACGTATATTGTATGTTGCACATGATTAAATGCAAGAATTTGCTCCATTTTGCTATCAATTTGGCAATTTAATTACATTGTACACCTTTCTGAAAGTAATGAGTAGCAATATCCAATGTGCTACTTCATATCTCAAAGCAATAAAAATTTAGAGCAACAAAAACTTCACAAAAAAATTAAGAGCCACAATAAGAAGAAAGGTTGCTAAAAGAGAGACTTTACAAAAAGTCAAAGCATAAAATAGGATGTTTGCACACAAAATTTTTCACAACATTGAGACAAAAAAACTTCTAGCTTGGAGCAAATTACATATGCGCTTAAGGTGATATATTGATGTACACTTGCCCCTACTACTATTGCTCTTGCTCCACAGCTTATGTAGCCAAACAACTTTGAATTTCTTAAATGCTTGTAAATTTGATTAGGATAGTAAAGATGATGCCAATGACATCTTAGAATAACATTGTCTTCACAAAAAGTCAAAGCAACCAAAATGGATATTTGTATAAAAAGTCTATATCATATTAGCACAACAAAACTTGCATCTTAGAGCAAATGACACAAGATGGTGGAAATAAATGGCTCCTTTAAATTGCTTAGCAAATACATACTCATTGTTGTAGCTCTTACTTTACAACCTATGTAACTAAAAGACTTTGAGTTTTCTAAACATGTGCTAACTAAGTGTAATATGAATATTTTGTGTTTGTAGAATGAAAATCATATTATTTGTAGACTGTAAATTTCATATACACTGTGAATTTATAGACTATGAGTTTATGTAAATTTCATGTGAATTTCTTGAGAATTTTATGTCAATTCATGTGAATTTTTTTATAGATTGTGAATTGCAATGAAAGTCATGAATTGTGATGAAGATGAATCAAGTTGCAATGAAGAGTTTTTTGTAAAAGTAGCAATTTTGATGAAGGCAAATCAAATTATTATAAAGAGCCCTTTACAAAAGTTTTTAAAAAATAACATCAATAAAGTGGAGCAATAATAATTTGCACAAGAAAAAATCGACTTCAAATTTGCTAAATATGTATAAATCAAGTGCATTGTGAATATGATTTTATAAGATTCGAATGTGAATTTATAATTTTGTAAAGTTTCTTTGAAGTCTATGAAATTTTTATGAATTTAGAATTTTAGAATTTTTGAGGGCTTTCTATAAATTTATAATTTTAGAATTATATGAAGTTTTTATAAATTTAGACTCTAAATTTTATCAAAGTAGTAATTATGGTGACCATACTAGATTTTTTATTTGTAAAAGAATTGAAAG